ATTCCCCTTTTGTTGTTATCTCTTGTTTCATACAGCAATTGTAGCGACTTCATCACTGAGCTTTGCAGCTCTCTGTCGCAGGCAGACTGTTTGTCGTCGAGTGAATAATGCGCACGCGCGGTTTTTCTTGGGAAACATTCTGACTACGCATGTTTATGCAGCATGTTCTCGGCCATAAAGCGTAACGGTCGTACATACAAACAAGCAGAATAATAGTATAGAAGATTACTACTGCACATCTCCGTTCATACTTCCAGCCTTCAGTTTGTTTGATGTTAAGCACAACGTTCCACAACGGTTTGTTTGTTTTAGCTTATAGCTACACAACAGGTTATCTGCGCTCTGTCATCCGCAGAAAATCAAACTCCGAAATTTAGCGCTTTAACCCCTCAAGCATATCTCTCAGCCACCTAGGCCACAGCCTTCGGACTTTGTTTATACCGACATTCCCAGTTTAGCGCGCTTTCTATTAGCACATTTTCGTTTTTAAAACGATTTTCACTTTATCGATTAGCGCGGTCAGTCGCGATAGCAATTTTCGATTTAACGCGGTTTGAAACTCTTAGTTACCTCGTGATAGCATTGTTTTGGGCAGCGGTATTTATTTTCAGGTTTATTTAATGTTTTATATACTTCTTTAAAATTTGAGTATCTAACTAATTTCCTAAAACACGTTTAAAAGTTTCTGTGTCCAGAAAATTTTCTTTTAGGATCGCACCCCCTTCCCCCATAATTACATGTAATCCTATGTGAAATTGAATTTCGGTTAGCGCGGCGTTTTTCAGGAACGCATTAACCGCGCTAAACGGAAGATGGTGATATTTATATGGCCTTCAGCACCTAATCGTGAATCGCAAATATAGTTTCACTTGTGGGAATTAGTTGTTTTTTTTTCTAATTTCCGATTAAAATGTCTAGAGATATTAATTACGTGCATTAAGTACAAATAAAAACTGCGTAAAATAGTTTTTTTCTAACCAGTGACAATGAAAGAACAATACCAACCAGCTATTACTTATAAATACATAATTTAATATTTTATTCTACAAAGCTGCAGTCGATATTAATTCCTATAGTTTTTACACGGTTCGTGTTAAAATGCTGAAAATCAACAGTCCGTCTGTAACGACAACCGTAATGCCCCATAATGCAAGATCTAGGTATAATTCTCGTTCAACAGGAGAAGAGAAGAATAATGAAACAAGTGTTAATAACAC